ATAAATTAACGTTAAAATAAAGGATTGAAATAGAGGACTAAAACACTTTAAAAACTCTGAGCCCAGCCTTGTGAACCTGTTACAGTTTAGATGTTGCTTAACGTAGCCTAATCAGCAGTGCAATAGAGAGGACAGCAGAGATACAGCAACAAGAGTTTGATTCTGAACTTTTGATTGTGTGCTTTAAGTTTGGCAAAAAACAGCACATACATTTGGTATAATTGTATTGCACATCCAGTTAATTTTTTTGTTACCGTGCAGACAATGGAAGCTTAGATTTATAGCTTTAATTGAATGCCTCACCTGTTGTTTTCTTGGAAGAAACAATGTCTGTTTGACATTTGTTTTTGCAAATTGATCAGGGATTTGTAAGTGATGCAAATAATTCCACCTTCTGCCTTACAGTACACGGCTTATAAAATCCACAAAGACCCTGATAGCTTTTACTCTGTCATTTTCAATGACATCATGGGCTTTGAGGAAAATACGAAGACAGGAGTTGATGTGCAAGACGTGAAACTGGCCATGAGGGGACATGTGCCAGATGGTTATCAGGTACAACTCTTTGAACTCTGACATTATTTAAGTCATCTACTTTTTCATACAGTTTAGCATTTTACACTTTTTTTTGCATTACATGGTGCCGAATGCTATTGTTTAACTGTTATATTGAATAGTTAACAGTAGATAATCTTTTTTTAAATCGTTTTTCTAGTTCAAGCCTGCAGCCCAGTTTCAGGAGACTGATAGGGACTACATCTCATCTCCCACTCTGGAAGACAGAGTTCACGTCCTGGTTTGTGTCATTCCTGCTGGCTCAGTATCTTTAATAAGTGAAGAAGTTGTGAAGAAGTTGAGAGAAGTCAGACTAGCAGCCGCTGAAATGGGTAAGAGCCGACATCACAACGGTCATGACTGTGTTCACTAATGGAACCAGATCTGGTTTTATGAATCAAAATACCAGCAAAGCAAATACGGATTATGTTTCTGTCTTGACAGGAATTCCCCAACTGGCTATTCTCACCAAAGTTGATGAAGCGTGTCCTGAGGCCAAAGAATATATAAAAGAAACATACAGAATCAAGTACTTGAAGGAACAGGTAGGTTTTTATTGGTGATTTTGTATTTGTTGTTAGAGTTCAATTTTCAAAATTTAAGCACAAGAATCTCATTTTTTTTTAGTCACAACTTTGCCATTTACTAATCAACTGAAATCCTGTTTCTTAGGTCGACAAATTCAGCATGTTGCTCGGCATTCCACCGAACTGCATCTTTCTTGTGAAGAACTACCACTCAGAAATCAAAACAAATAATGATATAAATGCGCTGATCCTGACCGCACTGAAACAGATGATTACCTTCGGAGAAGACTTTCTCGACAACCTGTAGACCTACATACTGCTGAGCTAAACCTTGTATGACCAGTCCACACATTCTCACTCCCAACTGGTCAAATACAAATGCTTGGTCAGTGGCTCTGAGCATATGATAATGATGTGGGTGGGTTTTCTTTGGAGTTAGTAAAGCCCAGTGTGTCTCATACAGATGCTAAAGGGTGCCTCCGTGGGTCGGTATCAGACGTCGAGGGGCACTGGAGTGGATTAAACTGCTGTGGATCAAAGCATGAAAAAATGGCATCGTTAAAACAATAATAATTACATGTGCAGGATGCTTTTTGTGGTTTGTATTTTCATTTTCAAGAATGTTATGCGTATTTTGTAGGCTGCATCACATGCATCTTAGTTGAGTTAGTTTAAAATTCAGAAAATGTTTCTCCTGTTTTACTTTGTGGCATAAAATAAGTATAAAATAACCTGTTCAAAATGTGGATTTACAAAAAATATGCTTGTGTGTAGTGCAACATTACATGAAATACATTGTGTAATAAATATGAAAAATACAAAGTAATGTTATATCAACATGTATGTGCACTTTGCTTTTGTGAAATGTTTTTTCCTCTTGCTTTTTATTCCAATAAAATAGTTTATTGCAGGTTTTTTTCTTTCATTATATTTCACCAGATATGATTTCAAGCATTTCTTTAATTTTTCTCGAAAGACTGTTGTTTTATTTCACAACGTCAATACTATCAAGTAAATGTTTTATTTCCTTATGCCAATTTCATCACAGAATTTTTGTCTGTTTGTTAATCCAGACAACCGGGCAGAGCCACGTCTGTGATTCACTGTTCATTCACATGGAAGCAACATCTTCACTTGTCTCTAAGAAAACCCTTATTGGGTTCGAAAACAACGACTTTTCATTTGGTTACACTCACAGTCCTCAGTAAAAGGTCTTATGATAAAACCTATGCTGCTGTCATCATTGACAGCATGTTTGTTTAATTCACATTCATTGATTATGTGACTTTCTAGAGATGTTACTGTGAAAACCTCGCCCAACGGAGGGGAAAACAATCAGCTCCCAATATGCAACTAATGGCTAACAATAGCCTGTAACTTGCTAAAATGTTGATGTCAGCATGTCAAAAGATTATTTTAGCAGCCTATGTCTACCAGCGGTGCTGTTGATCACTAGGATGATGATGAAAAGTTAGCTGAATCAAGTAATGTAGTTAGCTAAGCCACATGCAAACATAATACTGCATTTTCTGTTGTTTGCAAGCAGACAAAGGTGAGGAAGCACCTTCACACAAAACACAGTCAAAGGAGAGCAATGAATAGTTTTGTGTCTTCACTTTCAACATGTTCTTTGTGTGTTCTCCATGAATGTGCCTGTAAATATCCACCATAGGTCAGCATTTATTCTTATGCTGGAATTAAATGTTTCAACCATTTCCGTAAATTCAACTTCTTACCTTTGGTATTTATTCATCGATATTTCAAATAGCTGTGGCAACACTAATGATATGGTGCAGTATCATATATTTAATATCTGTCCTAGTCTGTATTATCACAAAGTTATCTACGTGCAAGTAAAAATGAAACTATCCTGAGTGTGGGAGGGAAGCTTACATTTGTTACTCTACACCCTTCCTTTGATTCTGATCACAATATTTTGAGTATGCAGCTACGCTTCCATTACGACGCAGAATTTAAGATGTCAGTTGGTTAGTAGTCACTGAAAAGCAGATGAACAGGTATTTGAGAATGAGAGAAGAAAGTGAAACTACCAGCTGAAGAAAAAAAAATGATGTTTTGTGTCACACTGACTTGTAACAGGTTAAACAGTTTAAGTGTCAGTTTAATGTAAAAGCCCTTTTTCCAAACAATGTAAACACCTGAGAGTGTCACAAAAGAGCATAAACCAACTGCGGTATGAAAAAACATTTTATATATTCATTGGTCAATATCTTCAAAACTAAATAAGATATCAACAAACTTTATGTAACGTTTGATGACCTTCGTCCAACAATGAGTATAGAGACCATAGAGAGTCTTGCTGTAATCGCCCTGCGATAGTCTGGCGACCTGTACATGGTGCACCCTGCCAACAACCACCAGCAACTACAATAAGAGCAAGACCACAACCTGGTGCTACCACAAGCGAGGCAGTGTTTGATGGGCATGAAGACCACAGCTGCCTTTGGCCCTTTGTCTACCTGCAGGATACTCAGGTTGTTTATTAAGCTCAGTCACTGGGCTGTCAGGTGACGGAGAAAATATGCAACATTTTCACAGAGAGTGGGGAGGCGATATTCTGCCATAGTACTGCAGCACGTAGCTTAATGTGATTTGCCCACCTTTCATCTCCATAGATTACCGTTGGACCCATTGCTGAAACCTTTGTGTAGGGTCCGGGCCTTCTGGAGGAACTTCCTATCAGCTTTTCAAAATTGAACATCCATGTAACTTGGTTCCTGAGAGGCTGGAATTCAATGTGTAAAACAACAACCTCCTACATGCCTACAACAGACTGGGGTGAGAGTCAGCTTTCAAATCACATGATCTAAAGGAAACTGAAAGGATGCTAAAACATTTAAAGCTGCGTAGCCGAACATAATATGCATCAATGTAGATAACACCAAAAAGGCATCAACAACTTCGCTCTTAGGTTATATAGTAACCATGTCTTTGCAATTTACTAGCTTGGGAACGTCAATTCATGATTATTAACTGCTTGAATTTGTCGATAGGAAACTGTGGTTAAGTTACATAATCACATCATTTGTTTAAGTGATAAAAAGGAACTTAGAATTTAATATGACAGTACACCACCTCAAATTCAGAAACTTAGAGGTTCCACTAAGTGACTAATTTCTTTTCACCTATTTATCTCCAAATAGTTTTAGAAAAGCTGAAGGATTATGTTCTCTTTTATTAGTAATATATTGTCCTGCAACTCGGGTTTATAAACCCGATATCCTGACTTTTTGTTGCATGCCCAGTTTGCAATGCAGGCTATCTGTAGAAAAGTCTAGGCTCCAAGTAAAAGCTGATAAAAGCCCGATAACTGCTTCATCTGCCAAACACTAAAGTCCCTTAAATTACCGTATTCCATTTCAATGGAATGAAGTGGTTCAACAACTACTGCACATGTAGT